GTGGGTGTGGCAAGCGAGTCTGATTTTTTAGTTCATGACTAAGAAAAAGATTGAAGGATATAAAAATTAGACTTTGCACTAACAATATCATTATTATAATGAGTAATTTACATTAAATTCCATACTTCAGAGAGGAGTGGTAAATAAATTACAGAAGAACTAGAGAACAAATGTCATGATTCTTATAACATCGAAAATTAAAGATTCAAATTTTTAGTTCATGACTAAGAAAAAGATTGAAGGATATAAAAATTAGACTTTGCACTAACAATATCTATATTATAATGAGTAATTTACATTAAATTCCATACTTCAGAGAGGAGTGGTAAATAAATTACAGAAGAACTAGAGAACAAATGTCATGATTTTTATAACATCGAAAATTAAAGGTTTTGTAAAATATTTCCTTATAAAATTAAGAACTTAAAACTTGTACAGTATTAAAATTTTCATACATCATCTACATTTGGATGTCCAGTTTATTCATATAAATTGTTAATAAAGTAGTTTACTTAAGTTTTGGATGTAACTCTGCAAAAGATTGTGACATGCACACTTTGACTTATTCGTCATGGCAAGAGGGTTAAAAAATAAACAAACTTCTTCTGCTGGATACTGTAATATTTTATATTCATAAAGAATAAACACCCTGCATTGTATATTGTAATATCTTATATTAATAAAGAATAAACACCCTGCATTGTATAATGTAATATCTTATATTAATAGAGAATAAACTCCCTGCATTTGATACTGTAATATTTTATATCAGTACAGAATAAACTCCCTCAACTGGATATCATAATATTTCATATTGATAAAGAAAAAAACCCTGTGAGACAATTAAGGAAAGGCTTGATAAATTTTTCAATGACAAGGACTAGCTCCAAGTGTTTTATTTTCATCTTAAAGTTTAGCATAGTGGATGGGATGACCTTGATAAACCAACAGGACCCTTGTTGTCCTTCAATTACATATAAAATATTAGTATTGCAAGAATTATCTTTGGTGAATACATGATGGCTTTTTTTTTATGACATTGTATTATATTAAATGATTTTGTAAAGTTTCTTTTATCAGACTCTTTATAATTTTTCCCACTACAGAAATAAGACTAATTGGCCTTTCACTCTTTCGGCACAGGCTCGGTATCTGGGACCGACCTCGTAACCATTTTGTGCTTGTTATAGTTTTCATGCTATAACTTTTATCAAAGTCAATAAAATCAAGTGTAAGAAGGACTAAAAAGACCGTTATCAAAGTCGACAAAATCTAGTTTAAGAAGGACTAAAAAGACCGTTATCACAGTCAACAAAATCTAGTGTAAGAAGGACTAAAAAGACCGTTATCAAAGTCAACAACATATAGTGTAAGAAGGATTAAAAACACCGTTATCAAAGTCGAGAAAATCTAGTTTAAGAAGAACTAAAAAGACCGTTATCAAAGTCAACAAAATATAGTGGAAGGACAACTAAAAGACGTTATAACAGTCAAAAAAATCTAGTGGACGAAGGACTAAAAAGACAGTTACCAGTTAGTATTGCAAGAATTATCTTTGGTGAATACATGATGGCTTTTTTTTTTTATTGACATTGTATTATATTAAATGATTTTGTAAAGTTTCTTTTATCAGACTCTTCATAATTTTTCCCACTACAGAAATAAGACTAATTGGCCTTTCACTCTTTCGACACAGGCTCGGTCTCTGGGACCGACCTCGTAACCATTTTGTGCTTGTTATAGTTTTCATGCTATAACTTTTAAATTAGTAAACATATGTCAACAAAATTTGGCAGATTATCAGTAAACATTACATTGCTTTCATACACAAAATATCACTTTTTTTTTTATTAAGTCTTAAGGTTTGTTAAGCAATGTTTTCTCATGCCTTTTTTCTTTTCGAATGTTGCCTATCCAACATGCAAAGTAATTTTCATTTTAAGATTAAAAATACTTTTATGCATCAGAAAATTTTCAAATTTCAGATACAGAATCTTTATAATGTCTAGATACTTATCAAATGAATCTCTGTACGGGTTTGTTAGATTTGACCAATTTTGTAACCACCATAAAAAAATTAGGAAAGAAATATAAGTTATGCCTACTTTGTTTCAAAATGACAACAAATTATAACACAAAAACATAAATGTTTAGACTAAATAGCTTAAATCTCATGACATTATACATTTATATATATATATATATATATTGCCCTTTCAGCCATGTCTGGCTAAGAATACAGAAGTTTCAGTGACGCGGCACACATGCTCTCATGTTACCATATTAAATATTATAAAACTGATCTTTAGTCTTTACAAAGTGACCTGTCTTGGCCGTGTTTTAGTAGACTAGTATTTTGTAAGATACAGTCACATTTCAATTATTATACATTATATGTGTGTATATAGATTATTACTACTTAGCTATAAATTCTTAAACTTATATTTCTTAAAACATAGAACTGTAAATAAAGAAGTAAATCAAACAATTATCTCTTCTAGTTACGAACTTTGTACTCATTTACTGCTTGATGTAGGTTGCTAAGCCTTATCAAATTTCGCACATGGAGAATATGAAATGAAATAATTTTTTAGGTTTTATATATACAGTTGAATAACCAAAAAATCATAAGAATTCCACTATAATTTATCAGGTTTAGTAACTAAGCTGTATTTCAGTCTTAAAAAATATGAAATTTCGAGCACAGTAAAGACAACTCCTTGATATCTTGGTTTGAAAAAAAGAGATGGCATCCTAACACATGAAAATAGCTGAGAAAGCCACTAGGGGGACATTCTGAGCTTTTGATTGGTTATTCACATTTCATATACTGAAGTAAGTGTATTTAAAGAGACCGTTTCCAAAAATGGAAAGAGGTAGGTGGAGCCACTGTGTTTGATTCAGTACATGAGCAATATATCAACAAACAGAAAAGATAGGAGGTTCATATTTTATATTCTACCTTGTTAATATTGGTAATTTGACTTCCTAATTCGTACGAAACTATAGACTTAGTATTTTGACATCACAAACATCTAATTTGAACCAGTGCTGCATTCAACATACCATATGACACACAAAAACCAATGTTTAACTGTGTTTTTTAATATTTACTTTTAAATTAAGAAATTATATAATGTATAACATTAAACTTTGAATTGTAATCTACAATTTAATACCAAACTTACTGACATAAATTCATGAAATAGTAGTTCCATAAAATTTTGAATACGAGTCAACAAACGTGATGACATAACCCGTGACCAGTATGGAGAGGTTAATTTTCAGGAGAGCTCTTATCACCCGCTTTAAAAATAGAAGAACATTAATTATTCTCTAATCCTGAGACACTCACCCACTGTCTAATGACTTTTTAACAAAAAATTAAAGAAAAAATCTCAAATACCCAACCTTTGACCTCATTGAAATCCCTGGGAAAAAACTTTAGTCCTGTCTCTTTATCCACTTTTAATCTCTCAATCTTTCTACTTACCACCAAGGGATTAATAACTACATGACTGAAGTCAGTTTTATATTTCCAACAGAATGTTCACAGCAAGAAAATAATATTGGTAATAACTTCTATTTCAAAAACAGAAAATGACATTTTAAAGCTCAGCCATGTCAGACTCTCCAACATAAACATCTTGCTATCAACATCCATTAAACTTAAGAACAATCACCATTTTGCTTATCTTGAACCTACTTTAAAAAATCCCTACTATTAGTTTTAATATTATCTGTCAACTGTTTTTCTTTAGCTCTTTTGTAAATTCTAATTTTCTCTTTTACCCAATTTCTAGTTTTTTTTATAACTCTTTTAAGTCTTCCATTGTATCTGTCAATTTAATCTTTTTTACAGTACTTATCTCTGATATTTTCTTCTTAGACTTAATAATCCCTGTTATCCTTTCAAATCTCAAATCTGTCCCACATCACCTTTTAACTCATTATTCCAATTCATTAATGATAAATCATGTCTCATGGCCTCAAAATTAGCTTTCAGAAAATTAGGAACTAAAATGTAATTTTTTTTAACATGTAATAAGACACAAAATAACAGTGAAATTACCACTTTTCCTCAATCAACTCTAGCAATCATATTCTTATTAGTGGCTAACAATAAATCTAAAATGGCATCTCTAGCTATGTATACAAAACCATTATGAACTACTTAAAGAAACTCATTCCCTCACAAAATATTTGATTCCATACAATCCAAATCAATGAATCTATCATTAAACTACCCCATAATTGTTACATTATCATATTTATTAGGACCAACTCTGATCTCTTTATACAGTTTCTTATTCACTACCATTTTTGTCTTCAATTCCACCAGTTTGCAATTCACCCTTTATAGAAAGTCATCACACCTTTCTAAGCTTTTTTAAAGTTTAAATAATTTTGTCACTATTAGTATTAAATAGCTGAGATATAAAAATAATTCCTATTAGTATTACCAATGTTCTCCAATTTCCAAATCTAAACAAAATTGAAGTTCATTAATTCCCAATTTGGTATGATAGTCTTCCATTTCACAAGTTAAAATTCCTTTTACGCTATATACTATAGGACTACTAGGAGTGATAAAAAATTTCCATTACCATTTCAAATAATAGGACTAAGTAACAAGACAAATTCTGTCGCCAGGTACCATTACGGCATTAGGCCTAAAATGCTAAATCTAACGTCAAATTCTAACTATAAGTAGATCCGAGGAATAGAACTTTCTGACTACAAGTACAACGTGAGAAGTCACTTGAGTTTGACTGTTTCTTATTGAACTTGAAAGTAATTAACAGTAGTTTTGCATAATTAAAAGACGCAACCTAACATTCAAATCTAATTAATGCAGTACAACTATAAATTAATGTACTTACACTTACAGTTTGAAGTTCCGTTGAACATTAGAATTTACTAAACAGTAAACCTAAGCTGATAATTTATAGTTTAATGAAAATAAACTAACCAAATTAACATTTTGCCAACTTATTTACCTTCTCTGGTATCCATTTCTTCCGTTTCAGAATGTTGGTTCTCTTTATCAACAGCTGAAATGTGATTCATTTCAAGATTAATAAAAGTTTGCTTCCCTTTCTTAAGTTTTGATTGAGTGACCACTTTCTCCTTCCCTTCACCCGCAGAGTTCTTTCCTGGCACGGCCACTTTCACGTGTTTCCTCACTATTCCCCCAATGTCTGCGGATGTAAACTCCCCAAAAAAGGGGAAACCATCCAAACTGGAACGAATCGTAACGTTACAATTTTTAATTCCAAAATGGCAACCAAGCCAATTATTTCCAAATATGTTTCTTTCACTCTCTAACACGACTGGCTGTTCTAAAGTACGAAAATAAAGAAGATGGCGAAGCCGCTAAAATGATGCATTATGGGCAAAATGTTTTAAATAACATAAAACTTCAACAATAGATTTTTCACATATAAGATGTCCATAGAACTGAAGTAAATACATATATATATACATATTAATATTCATACATAAATACATTTATCTTGTACGTTCAAACTATATTTCAATCGATGACTACCATTTGTTATTTTTTATTTCCCATAATGCATGTTCGACAGCTAGTGATTATCAGTAGATGTTGAGGTTGAGAATAAGTAGTCGTCACGGAGAGGAAGGACTAGTTGGAGTAAACAATTGTAAGTTGCGTAGTTGATGTGGCGTAGAACCTTTTTTTATATAATTATTTTTTACATGTGTATTCTTATGGATTTTATAATTATTTAAATCAAATTACTAATAACTATTAGTATTAGTCATATATATCCTATTTGTAATGTATATGGAATTTTGAAAGTCTTTACATTCAGAAATAAGGCTTAGCTTAGGCTCTCTGCCGAGGATTTCTCCACATGTGTAGTACTAGTAGATCTATACTGAAAAGACCATTTTTCTGACGCTGCGATCCTGGTGGCAACTTTGGAACTATATCTTAGGGACAAAGTGAAGTTTAGATGTATATGTTATTACTCGAAACGAGTTAAAAAGAGCGAGTGATTGGATTGTTATTAATAATATTTTGAGAACGTAGAGCTGTTGTATGCCATTGTGCAATAATTTTTTAAATGAAATATGTAAAAATGTTTGCAACATAACTTCCCTCCAGATCTGAAACTTGGAAGTTTTGGGTTGATATGCTATATTGCATTTAGTGGAATTCTTTTGAAGAAGCTGTAAACAGTAAAATGAAATATTGAATATCCAATTAAAGAAGAAAAATAACATGTTTGGTAATGTAAGGTTGCATAATACTAGTGTTAAGTTGGACTGATAGTTGGCAAAATACCTTTAATTACAGTAAGTACAAAGTAATGCATTTGACTTATCATAATTTGGATCAAACATTTAATAGAGATGGATTAGTCACTCATACCATCAAAGCAGTAATATAATTTTAGGATGTATTTATAAACATTAATTATAATTGAAAAAAGAGGTAATTCTATACACAATCACTATATAAAAACACCATACATATAAACAAGATTTAGGCCTCATTTGGAATACTGTGTGCAGTTTTGGTCTCTAGCTAAGAAAGTATATGGACCTATTGGAAAGGGTTCAGAGGAGGGTTAATAAAATGATTTAAGGCATGGAAGTGATATTTTCCAGATTTTGGGCAAGATAGCTCGACTGATTTTCTCATAAGAAGAATAAGAGATTATCTTATTGAAATTTTACAAGATTATGTAGTGGATTGATGGATTAATATTTTGGATTTCTTTGTTCTGTATAATGAAAATAATAGAACAAGAGGACACAACTTTAAGATTTGGAAAAGATGGACTAAGCTTTAGTTAAGACTATTTTATTTTTCTAACAGGGTGTTTGACTTGTGAAATAAGTAGCTGTTGACAATGAAGTATACCAGCACTTTACAGTAGCTTAAGAGGGGAAAATGTGATTTCCTTAAAAATAAAGGTTGGGTTTAAAGTTTGTTTCATTTTTCATTGTTGTGTGAAAAAGACAGCTCTGAAGGACCAAGTGATCATTTGTTGCCCATATGTTCATTTATGGTGTTTTAACTCATTTGAATAACAGTCTTGTTTTTATTTGCAAATGTATTTTTTATAATGTTTCTGATACAGTGACAGTGTGCTAAACTTGGTATAGTAACATTTTCTCTTAATGACCTTGGAAAAATCAATAACTTTTAAAAGAACCAAATTAACTATGCTACTGTGAGTTATAGAAAAAATATCAAATAGCTTCTTGATAGTGATGTTTTGAAACAAAACATGGCATAAACCATTTAGCTGAAACCCCAGTTTTTCATATCAAACTCCAACTGTGAAACTGTAATAGTGTTAGTTTGTCGGTACACCACCTAAGTTATGCAAAATTCACTAAGCCTAAGTTTACATTTCTACAATATTGTTTTATTTTCTTCAAATAAAGAGTGGTTACAATTCACTTAGAAGTAATAATTGGTATGTAATTGGTGAACAGACCTTACCACATTAAATTTGTAAAGCAAAATCCAAGAATGAGACATAACAGCAACTAGGATTGGTACAAAGATGTCAAGATTTGGATATTATTGCACTAGTGATAATATAACTAATACCACGGGCATTGGACATCTATGTGTTAAGACTAATAGTAATACTAATATATATAAAGTAACAATGTTAATAAAATTAACAATACTGAAGTATTAATAAGCCAGTCAATGTATTTAAATTCACAGTTTTGAGGAATTTATTTATTACAAACTAAACAGGTATGGTTACCACCTGCAATTTGGGATTTTGGGCCAAAATATTGGGGAAAAAATATAAAAAACAGAATAAATTTATACTTTGTTGTGAATATTGTTACAGCTAGGTAGCTTTGGTAAGTGCTACCTATGAGGCAAAGCTTAGAACAGATATGATTAATAACTGTGTTGGTGTATTTGTGGGTGAAATTGACAAAAAATGATGAGCTTAATTCAGTGTAAAGCATACCTACTTTGTTTTTGCTTTCAAAATACATCATTGTCAAAACTTTTAAAGTATAGTCACTGTGAACTATAATTCTTTTTTCTGGCAATTAGACAAATGTATAAAATTACTTTAAATTTTTGTGTTATATTCTGTAATAAAAATATTTTTTAAATTGAAATATATCTGATTAATGCATACGTAGCAATACCTTTCTGAAGAGAAACCATTCTTGAAGAAGTAATTAGGAAAAGATAATGGAATTATTCATAAAATTTATATACTTTTGTTTTATCATGAAATCCTTTAGTGGTAAATGTATCTCCACCATTGTAGTTAGTCACCTGTTAATATAGCAGGATTACAATGGTCCTCATCACCACATAAAAGTTTCATTTCAGACTTGCTGTTACATCCATATTACACCAGATGAACACAGAATTCTGGTATGGGTGGAAAACTCAGCCATACAATCTAAAGCCCCATGTCTCCAGTCTCTTGTTTCAGATGGTAAGATCACTGTCTGTACTAAGGTATTTGCTTACAGCCAGACCTTTGTCTTGTAGTTGCAACAGGCAAAGTGTAATCCCAATACTTCTTTTTTTCTAATCCTGTGTCCCTTTTCAAATAGATCATGCTTTGCTTTGTCAAGAGTGTCCATATAGCCTGTTCAGTGAGGCCGTTTTCTCTATTTCTATGGAGATCTAGATATCTTCTAAACAATTTTAATTCTTAGCCTATAAATGACGAGGTTTTGTCACTTTCAGTGAATGTGTGAAATCTAAGTATATTGTCTCTGACTTCTTGTTGTTGTGCTATTGGATGGACAGAATAACATTTCCTTTGCCTAACTATTCCACTTAACATTAATACTTCAACTTCTTTATTCCCTCCCCCCAAGTAAAGCAGATTAATAACAGAAGGATATCTGTGTGTCTGCATGACACTATTACTGTGTTGTAGTCTCTGTTAACTGCTTCAAAATGTATGCAAAATTAGGCAGGTGTTAGTCTCCACCACCAGAGTGACAGGCTTACACAAATACTATTATTGAGCTATAATACTCTATATTAATGTTATTGTGACATATTTTTATCATTACTGTTATCTATAATATTATTATTATTAAAAAAAATATTACTTTATTAAATTAGTTAATATCTTTCAACTATGTAATTCCCTCCCCCATAGAGTGTATCCAAACAGTACGTGTGAAACTGTTGTGTATGTACAAGAAATATGTTAATGTGTACTCAAGTTATAATAACTATGTGCATTAGCTTTAGACTTTATTCTTTACTTCAAGTACTTGTGAAAAACATACCCCAAAACTGACACGATAGTCCCTCTTATGCAGATGAGTATGGCAGGTACTATTGATCTGGCATGGTTACATACTTGTAAGAAAAATTGCCATTAAAACCTTTTTAAGCACAGTTGCTCTGGTTAGCTGGGTAATTACGTTCTGTTGCAGTGCTTAGAATTAGTAATGTAGTTTTCTCCTGGTGGTTGTTTGGCATGCTCTGGTTTGCCAGTTTTTTCTGAATAATAGTAAAACTAAATTCAAGTAAAAATAATTGGTGTTAAAGATAAATAATGTGAAATGACTTCAATAAAATTTATAATTCATTTACTTGAACTAGTTCACTCCATAACAGGTGTTATTTATGTAATTTTCTGATATAAATAGTGCCTAAACTGCTACTGTGTCTGTCACATCCCAGCTGGCCTGGTGAGACCTGGAATTGAAAGGTTCTTCGGCAGTGGATGTGGCACATATAGTGTGTTTCACGTATTCTAATATATTTTTCTATGCTTTCATTCATAATTAGTTTTTATAATTTCCAAATGTGATGAATGGGTTAAATAAAAGTACACAAAGCACAGTTATTGAACTGTACAGTTACAGCTTGTTTTTATGGCCTTTTTTGATAATAATTGTTGTATCCAATAACATACGAATTTTTTTTTTTTTCACTATCCTTAATACAACATTTACCCTTTTTTTCTGATTCCAATTACGATAAGCTCAACTTGTGATTAAAGGTAAATTCAAAAGATCATCTTACTGTGATTTAGTTCTTGTGGTCAACATGATGTAGATATAAATATGAGAGCATGTAAACATTAAAGATAGTCTGTTGTATTTTGTATGTTAAGAACTGTTTTACATTTGATCAGCATTGCCAAATTTTCACTTTTAATTTTTAAAAAGCTGTTGTATGTAATTCCTCATGGGTTTGGTTTTTCTATATTGTATTAAAACTTCAAATGTGTACATCATATTCGTCACGACATTTGGGAATGCTCTTATTTAACTTTAATTCTATGGCAAAATTGTTAGACCCCAAGGAATCAAAACTGTATGTATTGTTCAAATTGATACTTCACTGGTGTTATATAAAAATTGCAATAATATTTTCATTATTTTAAACTCTCTTAAAGAGATTGTAGGACTCTGTTCTTTTCTTGCCATC